GGTTGCACAGCCTTGGATGGGAAAGTGAGGGGTACAAAGGCCTGGTGGCTCCAGTTTTCAGCTTCTGAAGAAACCACTGAGTGATGCCTGGGTCTTCTGCAGGGCGATGTAGCACTGTATTAGAGGAACCTCCTGCCTGGCAGAGCTGATGCTGGTTAAAGGTCTTGCACAAAGGTTTTTTCCAGCCTACGTGGCCTTATAGGACAGCCCTGAAGTGGGAGAGTTGAGAGGTTATGGCTGCAGGCCTGAAATGCCAGCTATAATTTGAATTTCTGCCGGCAAGTCCTACCTTGTGAGTGTGATGGAATGTGCATGTGGCATCAGCAGTGCCAGCCCTGCCAGTTTCGTCTCTGCCTGATGCTGCTGGCACTTAAGCGTGGCTTTGCTTTGGGCAAGTTCACTGGCAGTCCAGACCTGCAGTCAGTTCTGGCATGGAGATGTGGAGATGGGTCAAAGAGGTTTGAAAAGTACTGTCTTAAATCAACCCATGCTACCTGGTGACTCGGCTCAGCCATGGTTCTCATGGTTCCCCCAGAGAGGGGAGTCTCTAAACCCTGGTTTGGGGATGTGGCAACCCCCTCCCTGCTTGGTTGCTTTGAGGCTCCTGTTGTGGTGGGGATGAAGTGGAGGCAGGCAGTGTGCCTGCTGGGCAGCCTTCAGAGCACCTACAGCAGTCGGCAGCCACTTGTAGTCAAGAGTAAGACTAAATTAATCCAAATTTTCCCATTCTTCACTTGTGTCTTTGCTTCTCTCCCCCCCCCTCCCCCCCCCAAGCTGTCAATGTTACCCAACTTTTGGCATCTCAAAGCTTGAATATCTGGTTTGTCTCTTTGCCTCCTGGCTGCTTGTCTGTTTGTTGGTACCTCTGTGTTTTAAACATTTCTGAGTAGCAATGCTCTGTGAACAGGAAAAAACCTAAATCTCAACTAATCCACCCGTCTCACTAAAGACACAAACACAGGGAAGGCTGGCAGCTTTTGGAGTGGAGGTAACAGAACAACTATTTAAAACATCCTCTGGGGTTTCTGGGCTAATGCCACATGCCCAGGGCAGTCAGTTGCAGGCTCAGGACACAAGGGGAAGCTAGCTTTAAGAAACTCCACTTATTTTTCTCATGTTCGTTAAATTTCTCTTGGTAATGGCAAGAACCTTGTATCTTTGGTCTTGTCTGGGAAAGTGGAGAGCTGTTTGCAAAATTCTGTGTGTGTTGAGCACAGGCATTTTGTGGTAGAGGAAGGGGCAAAGCTGTCTGAAACAGTCAGACCTTTCTGCTGCCTGTGCTGGTCCAGAGTTGAGTAGGGGTTTAGCAAATGAAAGTTGGCCAAAAATCCTCTTCCTTTCTTAGCTACTCACATTTAATGCTTGTATTAACATTCTACTTGCTTGTGGTTGTCAGTGGAAACAGTAAAGGTAAATGGAGATGTTTGGATTCTTCTGTGTAACAGAGAATCAGAAACATGCTTCAGTTTGCCTTTTTTCTCTGAAAGTAACCAAGAAGAACTTCAAAAATCTAATTACATTCTCCTCTTGGCAAATCGTTGTTATAAAAAAAATTGGAGCCAGAAGCAAGTACCCAATTTTCACATTTCTTTCCCCATAAAGCAGTATTTGTGTGGTACGGTGGTGAATGGATGTAGAGAAGGCAGCAGGCTGCAGACTGTTTCTTCAAATTTTTTAAACCCATTTCAGAATCTTTACTGGAAAAAAAAAATGAATCGCAGCATCTCAACTGTTATTCAAACACATTTAATAAACAAAGAGAAACAGTAGCAAAGGGCACTGACACGTGACAAACTGTACAAAACGTCCTGGTTTGCAGGCAAACCCGAGGGGAGGAGCCCATGGCCCAGCTGCAGGACTGGGGAGCGGCTCCATCCCATCGCCCTGCAGCGAACCATGCCCCCTTTGCCTCAGCCCACTCAGTCACCCCTGAGAAAAATCGTTGGTTTTTTTTTTTTTTAAAATGTGCAGAAACAAAGACACTTTAAGAGGTTATTTCCAGTCTTGCCATAATGGAACAATTTAGGCCACTGGGGAAGTTTAAAAAAAAAAAACCAAACAACCCAAAGTGTCATACTCTCCGTTCCCAGGATTAATGCTTTCAAGTGACCCTTCCCAAGAGGCACAAGCACCCTTGGAGATCCAGTAGATCCACCCTGCTCACCTACGCTACTCACCACAACATGCTACCTTTTTTAGAGTGAACGGGACAAACTTCATCCTAATTCAGTGCTAGTTTTGATATAGTTGTGACTGAGTGAAAGGCAATGGAAGGAAAAGCCCTGTCTCGAGCACAGAAGGGATGCAACTGGTGCATAATGCTGAGACCAGCCTTGGTCTCAGGGTAAAGGTGAGCTAGCACAGTCAGGAAAGGAGAAATCCTCCACTGGGAATGTACCTGCTCCGGATGGACTGCATGCCTGGTCCTAAATATCGCCCAAGAACTCAAGTGTCCAGTACCAATGATCGGTTATCTACTATAAACTTGTTCTGTTGAACTTAAAAACCCTGCAATCGAACCCAAAGAGTCTTCAACCCCCTGGAACATCCGTGCTGCAGAGAGCAGTGTGGAGGGGAAAACCCAGATGTAACTTCGATAGTCTGTCTTGTGCATGTGAGTTAAACAGCTGTTCCAATCAACTGGTAACTTTTTGGCTCTCTGGCTCAGAGGGGAGAGTGACAGCATCACTTGTGCATCAGGCAATCCTCTGGTGGGCTCCACCATATATGGCATTTTTGGTGATAGAAAAAAAGCAATGAGGTATTGTTTTTATCTACTTGAGCTGTACTGGACAGAAAGTCTCCCTTTGCAACTAGTGCTGCTTTGAGCTCTGGGGTTTGAATAGCAAGTGCTCAGCTGGCATCAATGTGACACAAGCAGCTCAACCAGTTCCTGTTGCCTTTAGTTTGATATTGACCAGTTCCCAGAAATTCCCTCCTCTGAGGAAGGGAAAGAAGACAGATGAGTGTTAAAGGGCTTTTTAGGCTGCTAACTTGCATACACGCACTTCTTGATTTCTTAGCTGTGAGCACAGACGGACAATGACCGAGGCTACGCAATACTGACAGAGGAGAGATATCTATACACATCACAGTGTTATTTAGGCCCAGCCAAGGCGTACGGTTTAATCACACCAATACCATCTCACCACATTATAAACAGGGAAGATGGAGGGAAGAAGAGCTGGGTTCTTCAGCGTGATGGCAAGCCAGCTGCATTTCAACAGCCTGTAACCCACACAATGTGAATTCAAAGACATTTGGCACAGTCTGTTGTTACCAGGATTAAACTAGCACAGATAATTAGTCAGTCTTTCTTGAGAATGAGGCAAAGCCTCCACCGGAGGAGGTACGTTGGCAAAGCAGATGGGTGAGAAATGGCAAGAGTACGTACAGAAGGACTGAAAAAGGCAGAAAGTGCAGCAGTGTCACTCAGTGTCTTTCCTGCAGGTCTTGTTTGCTGAACTGGTGGTTGGACTGTCGGTAATGCTGCTGCAAGGCCCTGTCAGCAATAAGTGGTAAGATGGGAAACCTGCCTAATTCTGTCTCAAAACTTTAAGGAGACTACAGGTAGCTGAAGTCCTCCAGAAAGGAGCCTGACTCCTCAGTCTAGGTGAGGAATTTTCTGATGCCTTACTGAGAAACATGCTCTGAGCTTGTCAATGTCTGTGAATTCCAGCATCTCTGAAGCTTTGCATTTAATGTCAGTTTAGGACTCGACTCAAAAAGACCCAAGTGCCTGGACACTTAGGCTACAAAGAACAAAGCCAGGATGAAAGGGGAAAAACATGCAGCAAATTCCTAAGAAATTCCATTTACCAGACTAGGAGGGACATGCCCTTGGTTAGGGATGGCACAGATTAACAGAGGGGAACCAGTGACTGCAGTTTGGCTAAGATCAGAATTCAAGAGAGGCACAAACGAACATTTTGCACATCCATCCAAGGCATTCCAAAAAACCAAAAAAGAAATAAAAGTCACAGAAGTCGACACATCACTTTGGACAAGAAACATTACAACAGTTTGGCAACTTTTCACTAACCCCCACCCCAATTCTGTGATGCCTCTCTGTAATTTGAGGCAGTATCTTAAAGGTGGGGATATGAGGGGGCTGCAGATAAATCACTGCATGTAAATAGGGGATCTCTTCCGCAAAGAATCTCATGGGGTAAAACAAATCTACCTGCATGCTACGGTACAAAAGAAATTCTGCCTGAAGTCCTCCCTTGGTGAGAAGGAAGGAGACAGAGCCCACGCTGCTGGAGACAAACAAGGCAAAGCTGAACTTGGCAGCAACAAGTCCCTAACCTTGTGACTTTGCACCAGGCTAAGATACGGCCGTGGCAGGGTATTGGAGGGGCAGATGTCACCACTCTTCTTCAGTAGAGAAGTGTAAAGGACAGAACCATCACTCTATCACTGTCCTGGGAGAACACAGGTCTCTCTGTTTATGCATGCAAAGTAATGGGCTTTGGAAAATGCCAGGAGCCCGTATGTAATAGTGTTAATAGCGAGACCCACGTGACTCCACTCCCCTTAGTATCTAAACTCAGCTCTTAGGAATTGAACACGGAACAACTACAAAGCAAGAATGGAAAAAGTTTGTGTGGGTTTTTTATGAGTGGTTGTTTTGTTCCTCCTTTTAAAGCCCTGTTCTGATCTGGGGGGGCTGGCTGATCAGGAGGGGGAGCACTGCAAGGTCCCTGCACCTTTCTGACGGCAGATCTGGGTGTAAGAAATGGCACAGCTCAAATACAGAGCTTCCCACCTAGGCCAGCCTGTGGAAGGTGGGACTGATTACAAGGGCCTGTGCACCTGAGCAACCTTCACAAAGGTTCTGACTGGGAATCCGGCCCAGCCATTGTTGGAAAAATTCAGTACAGCGCTGGCCAAGAAAATAAAATGAATACTTGTGGAAAGGACTGTCCAACTGGAAGAGTCTCTTCCTTCCTTGGTTTCCAAGGGTAAGAGGGAAGCCTTTGGTTATGACCAGAATTATTCACCATTGGCAGGACAGGCTCGGCTTTGCTTTGCATTAGCTTGGCTACTGTACAAGGGCAAGGTTGCACTGCGGAGAGATGCTCTGCCCAGCTGGACTGCCCTTTTGACATCTGGGAGTTTTAAGGGAGCGGTTACACTTGAATTACATCCGGGATCCTCGCTCCTGAAGAATCTGAAAAAGCAAAGAGGAGCTATAAATACCTTGGATAAGTTTAAACACAAAAGTTCAGAGTCCTTGGTTTTTTGCAGAGAAAGAGGGACTAATGTGAGAGTAGCTTGCTGGCTTTTATGCTACCATAACAAATGACATGCTGGTTAAAGCTGACTGAGCCCTTCTCTAGAAATCCTGCTTAGCTGCCTGCCAGGAGTTAAGATTGTCACCTTCTGTTGCTATCCTGGAAAAAAAAGGAGTGGATTGAAAGGGGGGGGGGGGGGGGGGGGGGAAAGCTTGTCTTTCCCTGCAATATCCTTCAACCACAAAATGTGACCAATCTCAAAGGTCCTTGCTATGCTGTCCTCCTTTTTCGAGTCTATCATCTCTTTCCTCCAATTTCTTTTTGTCTTAATTTGAAACGTACACAGAGCCTCAGCTCTTGTCCTACGGTGAAACATGAAATCTTCCAAGGGGGGAGGATCCATGCATACAGGAGAAAACAGGAAAGCTAGTACACAGAACTGCTACTGCAAATTACCGATCTGCTAGTGTAAGAAGGGCTTTTTCTTTGCATAGCAGAATTCAAGTCAATAGATCTGGGCAGATGCCTTACCTTTGCCTTCTCGCTGGGCTCCTTGACAATGCCATTGGTAGAATTGTTGAGCTCCCTGGATACAACACAGAGGAATTCTGCCTGGTCTTCATTTCCATAGTTATAAGAAGATCCAATGCTGATTAGCTGTGCAACAGGAGACAGCCAAGGTAACTATCACAGACTCTTGACGTTTGCTTTATTCCTACAATTGCTTTGTGAGGTACGACTGTCCAGTGGGACCTGTGCTGGACCTGAAGTGTCTCCCCATAGCCTCCTGTGTCACAGGCTTTCCTGTTCCTGTGTTAAGGCAGGGACACAGCTGAGCTCCAGAGCCCTCTAGTGGCACCTGGAACCCCAGGAAGGGATTACAGCCTGAAACTAACGCTGACCAACACAACAGAACATTTTTCCAATTACTGAGGGGAGAAAAAGGAAAAACATGTCAGATTTTGCAATATATAATATTCAGTTATGGGGCAGGCAATGCTGACTTCCAGGCCCAGACTACACCGAACTCAGCTCTCAACTTGCCTTTTGACTTCGATGTGTAAAAACCGGACAGGCAATTCTTTCTCACAGACAGATGTTAGATTAACTAGGGGACATGTGGCAAACTGGCACCATTCTTCACGTAGATGCTGTCAAGATGGAGCTTGATATCTGTATAAATGGGATTATATTCTATTACTGTTGTGATGAGGGGTCTGGACTCGATCCAAGAAATCCCATCTGTCTCATTTATCATTATTACATTAAAAGGACATCCTGGAGTGCTGAGCTAATTTGTCATTTACAACTCAATTCTGCTTTCCAGATAATAAATCTAACGAATCTGAAGAAAGCAACGTGAATCTTAACGACTGTGTATATCTAGGAAACTTTAACAGGCAGCATGCACCCTAACTTCCATCTCCTAATGGATTTTAGGAGAGCGTGCTCCATATTTATGTACGAGACAGATGCACTCAATGGCCTTCCTGGACACATGACTACCTATACGGTTACAGTGCAGCTGCAGGAAGACTTGGGGGACTGTTGTACTGACTGACCTCTGTTTTAAACAGGTTTTGATGTTTGTGCTGAGGGCAATAGACAGGATAAAAAAAGATTATTTTTCTTTCTTTTGCTTCCCTGCTCCCCGTCTTGACTGTTTAAGCTCTTGGGTATTTCAATACCACACACCATTATTTACTCAACAAACACAAAGTATCTTTTGATAAGGATAGCAATTTTCTGGACTACTGAACTGTAGGTGGACAGGAGAATGGATTTCAGTTTAAAATAGGAAATTTCTATTCCATCCTTAATTTAACCAGGACTGAATGGTACAAGGCAAGAACCTGAAAGGCAACATGCTCCTCTGTGAACCCAAGCCTGACAACAAGGCTGCAACAGCTTTTACCACCTCTGGCTTTCCTGCAGGTTTCCGAACCAGTCTTTTTGATGTTAAAAAGTGACTGGATGCAAAGCACCCGTGAAGGGAACATCTGTTCTGCTCAGTCACTGGCATCCAGGCTAAGATTTAGCAATAGGCTCTCTTTGTCCCCTGTATGCAGGTATGTTACCACCTTTCCTAACATGTCTCAGCATGCCAAGTGGTGTGAATTGGGGGAGGGTAGAAGCTGTGTTGGGTCACACATCTGGGAAAAGACCTTGGCAATAGGCTGCAGCTACAGTGTGTCTCCCAGCAGGGCCCGTTTCAGCATGGGACATATCCTGTGCTGCACCACTGCTGTGTTCCTGGTCTCTGACCCAGTCTGGACCATCTCACAGCTGGAGAGAGGCTGTACTGCTGGGTGATGTCTAGCCCTAAGCAAAGCATCGTATCCAGCTGTCCTGTTTAGGCTTGCTGCCCTTGGGGGTGTTTGAGCTGTAGGCGAGTCCCAGGGGAGGGCAACAACAGCTCCTGATGGTGGGAGTGTGCCGGAGTGGGATGTGCAGGAAATTTTCCTGGTGCTTGCAGTGTACAGGAAGGAGGTAGCTGGCAGGGATCTCGGTGGTTTGCGCAAAGGCTATGGATGGCAGAGGGAGGGAGGGAACAGGAAGGCAACACGCTAGCATTTGCTTGTAAACAGCATCTTGACCCTACTGTTACAGATTTGAAAAGCAAGACTAGGAAAGATGTAAGGGTGCAGATTCCTGTGTAGGGCACTGCCTGTAGCCTTTTGGGTTTGGGGATGCGTACGTTCATGTGTGAAAGGCAACATCTGTTAAGTAAATTTCTGGACAGCAAAACCTGGGTGTTGGAGAACTGTACTTCCACAAAGCAGCTAGTGGCTCTTGGTCACAAGATTTCACTACTGGCTTGCAGGTGAAAGAGTTTCTGGCTGCCTCTCCACTATGCAACAGGAGTCTTCAGGCATTACAGAACAGATATATATGAACAAGTGATGCAAACTGCTGTTGCTAATCCTATGCCTCACTTTGTGTCAGCACATTTCCCACAACATCCACTTGTACTGAAGCTGGACTAATTGGGAAGACAGCAGAGCTGTAATCCACAGAGCCTGTTCTGCAGTTTCTTAATACAGCATTAACATGCAGGCCAGCTGGTTTCCAGTTCTCCATCCTCCTAAATAAGCGGACTGTATGCAATTCCAGAAACCAAATCTGGAACTGATACCATATGCAACTTCAGTGACACCTAGCCCTGAAACTGGCTGCGTTACAAATGCATCTGCAGGAAGTTTATTTCTTGTGTCACTCAGCACCTCCTTAGCAAACGCAGGAGCCGTGGCTTTGAGCTTCCAGAAAAGTTGTGCTGTTTTTTCATGGCTCTATTAATTTTCCTGGATAAAACTGTTGTACTGGGGCCTAATATATGTGATGAAATGCAGGAGAAAGAACAAATTGCTCTGGGATTTGATAAGGATACAAGAAGTCCTGAGAGAAAATGAAATCTCTCTTGGCAGTTTGAGTGAATTCTGCCTTTCCCTGTCAGTTATTCTACATAAGCAGACTGCTGCTCAGCTCAGACTGCTCATTCAGAAGAGCAGAGCAGTGTGAAGTGCAATGAAACAGCAGACTCTGCTTAATCCATATGCAGCTTTCAAAGGGATTCTGCTGTTCTTTGGTAACGGTACCTGTTCGAACTTCCACCCATCAGACATAGTGGACACCATCTGTGTAAGCTCCTCCTCTTGGCACTGCAGGACTCTGTACACATGCTTCACAGGTCCCTAAAGCATGAAGAATAAAAATAAGCGTGAGTTTAGTAATTGTTATACCAGCATTAAGCTAGGAAATCAATAAGCCTCTCCTGCTCTGTCATTTTATTATTTGAGGAAGTCTGGGCCCCACCGGCTTTCTGAGGTGTCATCCTTCTGACCATCCAACCGATTCTAAAACAGGTACATACAGTTGGCACGCTTCTCTTAAAAGCCTCCAAGGGCCAGGGAAAGCAAATCTTCTTTGGCTTTCAAAGCCATTTACTGCTTTTGGAAAATGTTCTCTCTTATGAAATTGAATTTAGTGGGTGTGTTAATATCTGCTGAGCAGCAATGGAAAGAATTGCCACAGAGAGACAGATGTATACAGGGAAGAAAATGGTTTAGAGAAGGAAGAACTTGAACTATTCTTTACATACCAAAGCAGTATGTTTTGCTTTATAACTACCCATCTTTGCTCCTGGCCCCTCTTTTTAACTGTTCATTGTCTTTCCCTGCACTGCTAACAAGATGGCGCAGTGGTCTGTGCTTATAAAGCCATAATGGATGCTCTTTCCTAGCTGTGCCTTGAGTCTACTAAAAGCACTGATTCCACCTGTTAAAAGAAGACTAAACAAAAAACCTGCTACTACTGTCTACATGTCTGACTTTGTAACGCAAAGGTTCCTGTGCATTACTTGAGAGGTTCTGTTCTCGTTATCCCGTATCCGCTCCTTCACCAGCCGCACAAGAGATGCAATATTGTAAAACTCTGCTTCTTCCAGTACCCCTAAAAAAGGAACCAAAAGTAGAGAGAAATTCTGTTACTTTGTACAGGGCAGAATGAAAATGATTCTGCCACAAGGATGCAACACCTCCTCCTGACTCCAAATCGGGCCCAGATGTGAGACAGTCCCTGAATGCTGAACAGACTGTGCTAGATCTCATGCTCCCAGGCTGGAAGAAAATGAACTACTAGCTGTCACCTCTTTTTGTAACTTAGAGGAGATTTAAGAAAGATTATTCCCCCTTCCTGAGGATTATCAGGAACGTCGTGGTACAATCTCTATTTTGTTCACACAGCCCCGTTTCGGGAAAGTCACCAAAACTGCCTCCTTGTAGAGACCTGCTGTCTGTGGAGGGAGAGGAGACGTGCTATCAGATCTTCTGCTCTGCTAACAGAAGCCTTTGAGCCAAGCAGAACAGTGATGGGTTGTGTTGCAGGCTGCAGGCCTCTGCTTTCAGGAAGACACATAATCTAATGATTAAGCCCTGCTAATGAGAAACCAATGGTAGGAACTAACCGCACTACTGGGAAATGCAGCTTGCTCACACCCTTGCACATCGCCATGTTGGGAACACTATGCACTGATGATGGCTCTTGGATTCTGCTATCAAACTGTATTTGCAGTTCTCCCCCTGTATTTTAATCTTACCTTCTTCTGCAAGCTCCTTGTTTATGATGAGCTTCCCGTGTCGGAGGTAGTTCAGTATTGGACCAAAATACGTGGGGTCTCTATCGATGAGATATGCCCCTGTCTCATCCTGTTGAGTACGTACAGGAGTGAAGCGGGGATAGTTAAGTGGTACCAGGAAAAAAAATAATTTCAGATGAAAACAATAAACTGAACAGTTTCTTTCTGAGAACCTGTATTCATTTGCCTGTGAAAGGTGTACTAATGATGCCACATTTAAACCAATGTGGGTTTTTTTTCCCAATATCTGAACTCAGCTACAAATGTTGTAGCTCAGTGCTGGCAGATGCTTCCAATTAAGCACTTCTATGAACAGAGTTTATATACCTGGAGAGAAAAGCAGGGCTTCACAGTAGTTCTTCACTGTGATAATGAAATCCAAAAGCTGGCAGTTGTGTTCTGTCTAAATTTGTTCTCCAGAATAGTTTAACCAGGAGACTCTGGAGGAAAATTGGATCTCCAGTTCTCACTAACAACATATGATGGTTTAAGTAGCTCTTTTCCTTCTCCTTTTTCTTTCTACTACTGAAAATGCACCAGCCGTGTCTCTAGCAATACAATAACTATTGTCATCAAATAACCAACAATTCACAACCAAAAGCATCTCTTGAGCCAGCTATGAAGCACTGACAAAGCCTGTCCAGAAGTCTTTCATATCACTCCCTTAAATCACTTTAAAGCAACATTTGTCCTGCCAATCAATCTACTCTAAAGCAATAAAAACTGTGGGAAAAATCACTCTGAAGTGTCATCTCGTCTATTAACTGATGCTGCTGACTGCTACTTTGATCACAACCAGGATTTATCTTTTGATTAAACTCTGAACAGAGCGGCAAGAGACCTGAATAAAGCTCAGTCTGACCAACCCACAAAATATTTACAAAACATTGTCCAGCGGATCCTATGGAAAACCTGCAATTACGAGAATAACTTTCCAAAATCCTTCCGATAAGCTGCAATGATTTCAAAACTGTCCACCCATGTAAGGAACATGCACGATGATCTTTTATGAGAGCAAAGCGAGATGTATTAAAAAAAAATTACATGCTTAGAGTGAGGAATCATTAAAATTCCAGTTTCTCAGAAAATTTCCTTCTTGGTCCCTCTCTGCTCTAAGTAACCACTGTGGGAAGGTGCTGGTTTGCTCTTTGAGAGGAGCCGCATCCCCGGGGGGAGGTGAAGAGCATCGGTGCCTGCAGCACCAGGGCGTTACGGGCACGAGGGCAGACTCTAAGCCCCATCCTTGGCGATGTAGCCAAAGCTGCAGCCACATAAGGGGACACGGGGGGCAAGGAGATGGCACCTCTCAGAGCAACGCGTGGGGCCGTGGGAGTGGGGCTGCTGCGGAGATCGGCCCATCCACGCCGGGTCAGGGGCTGCTGGGGCCGCGTCGGGGGTGCCGGCCCTGGGGACAGCAGCAGCCGGGGCTGTCCCCCTGCTCATACGGTG